GGAAAGAGATAAACCAAAAAGCTTATATGCCCCTATATGCAATACCAATGGACATAGACAGTAGTGTGGGGATGGCAGTGTTGGGGGGGGACAGGAATGAGGAGGAGGACGTCATTGGGGAAAAAGAGGGAGACATCTGTAATACTTTCAACAATAAAGATAAATTTTTAAAAATGAGTTTGGTGGCCCTGGCCAGTTTGGCTCAGCGGTTGAGCATTGACCTGCGGACCAGAGTCCCGGGTTCAGTTCCCGCTAGGGGCACATACCAAAAAAAAGAAAAAAAAAATGAGTTTGGTGTATTTCTGTGGGTCTATTTTGGGGTTTTCTTTTCTAGTCCATTGATTATTCTCCCACAAATGCCTGTGTTGATTGCTATGCCTACTACGTTTTAAAATTGAGTAGACTGATTCCTCCCATTTTCTTGTCAAAATTGATTTAGCTATTTTAGTTACTTTGCCTTTTCATATGTAATCTTTTGTTTCCTTTATTGATTTTAGAGAGAGAGAGGAAGGGAGAGGGAGAGAGAGTAAGAAACATCAATGAGAGAGAGCATTGATTGGCCACCTCTTGCCTGCCCCCCACTGGGGATTGGGTCCACAACCTGGGCATGTGTCCTGACTAGGAACCAAACCGGCGACCTCCTGGTGCATGGGTTGACACTCAACCACTGAGCCACACTGGCTGGACATGTAATCTTTATAGTAACAAAAAAATCTTGCTGGGATTTTGATAGGAATTGCATTAATCCTATATACTAATTTGGGGAGAATTGGCATATATTGAGTCCTTTTTTTTTTTTAATTGATTTGAGAGACAGAGGAAGGGAGACAGAGAGATAGAAACATCCATGAGAGAGAACATGGACTGGCCGCATTCTGCATGCCCCCCACGGGGATTTGGCTCACAATCTGGGCATGTGCCCTGACCGGGAATCAAACCAGCAACCTCTAGGTGCATAGGTCAACCCTCAGCCACTGAGCCACAACCGGCTGGCCTCTTACTAGTATATTAAAAGAAGATGAACTTTGTATGTTTGTCTTATATCTGTGACCTTGCTGAATTCACTTATTAGTTCTAAGAGTTTGTTTTGTAGATCTTTGGGATTTTTTTCTGTTGATAATCATGTCATCTGCAAATAGGGACAGTTCTATTTTTCCGTTCCAATCTGTGTGCCTTTTATTTCCTTTCCTTGCCTTATTATAAGAAGTTCCAGTACTATGTTGAACAATATTGGTGCAAGTAGACATTCTCATCTTGTTCCTGATCTTAGGAGGAAAGCATTCAGTTTCTCACCATATGATAATGTTATCTGTAGGTTTTTTACAGATGGTCTTTATCAAATAGATAAAATTATTTTTCTGAGTTTTTGTCATTAATAAAATTTGTGTTGAAATTTGTCAAATGCTTTTTCTGCATTGTTACGATCTTTTGATTTGTTTTTCTTAGACTATAAATAAGGTAGATTACAGTGATTGATTTTATAATATTGAATCAGCATTTTATTCTTGAACTAAACCCCTCATAGTTGTGGTGTATAATTCTTTTTATATATTGCTGAATTCTGTCGTCTGATATTTTGACAAGGAGTTTTATCAAAATATGTCTATATTCATGTTCTGTAGTTTCTTTTTGTTTGTTTGTTTGTTTGTCTGTTTTGTTAATCGTCATCTGAGGATAATTTTTCCTTTTTTTTTTTTTTTCTTAGAGAGAATGGAAGGAAGGGAGGGAAGAAGAGAGGGGGAGAGAAAGAGAAAAACATCAATGTGAGAGAGACACATTGATTGGTTGCCTGCACCCCAACCTGGAGCCGGGGTAGAATCTGCAAACTAGGTTTGTGCCCTTGACTGAGAAGCAAACTCAAGACCCTTCAGTATGCAGGTTGATGCTCTAACCACTGAGAAACAATGGCCAGGGTGGGATTTTGTTTTGTTGAGTTTTTTTTGTGATGGTGGTTTATTTGTCTGGTTTTGGTATCAGTATAATTTTACTGCATTTACTGGTGATAAAACCATTCGATCATTTTTATTTATGTTGTTAATGTGATGAAATGCATTAATAGATTTTTTCTATTTATCTTTTTTTTTTTTTTCCCTTTATTGATTTCAGAGAGAGAGGAAGTAAGAGGAAGACAGAGATAGAAAGATCGATGACAGAGAACATCGATTGGCTGTCTCCTGCATGCCCCTCATTGGGGATTGGGCCCACAACCTGGGCATGTGTCCTGACCAGGAATTGAACCGGCGACCTCTTGGTGCATGGGTTGACGCGCAACCACTGAGCCACACCAGCTGGATTCTGTTTACCTTTAGATAGACTTGGAGGGAGGGAGAGAGAGAGAAACATCGATGTGAGAGGGACACATCGACTAGTTGCCTCCCACACAACCCCAACCAGTGCCAGGGATGAACTGCAACTGAAGTACGTGCCCTTGACCGGAATTGAACCCCCACCTCATTGGTCCACAGCCGACACTCTTAACTGCTGCCAAACAAGCCAGGGCACATTAATAGATTTTTATTTTTATTCTTTTCCAATTTTTATTAATTTATTTTTATTATAGACATTTCTCCTTTCCCCCCCCTAAATCCCCTGCTCCCCATCCCGCCCTGCCCCAGCCCCCTGGCATTGTTGTCTATGTCCATTGGCCATGCATACATGCATATAAGTTCTTTGGTTCATCTCGTCCATCCCCCCACCCCCCTACTCTGAGGTTTGGCAGTCTGAACCATACTCCTTTCTATGTGTCTGGATCTATTTCGTTCATCAGCCCACCTTGTTCATTATATTCCACAAATAAGTGAGATCATATGATAGTTGTCTTTTTCTGATTAGCTTATTTTGCTTAGCATAATGCTCTCCAGGTCCCTCCATGTTGTCTCAAAGGATAAGAGATCTTTCTCTCTTACAGCTGTATGGTATTCCATTGTATATATGTACCACAGCATTTTTTATCTACTCAGCTATTGATGGACACTTGGGCTATTTCCAGATCTTAGCGATTATAAATAGTGTTACTATGAACATAGGGGTACATATATTCTTCCTGATTGGTGTTTCAGGCTTCTTAGGGTATATTCCTAGAAGTGGGATCACTGGGTCAAATGGCAATTCAATTTTTAATTTTATGAGGACACACCATATTGCTTTCCATAGTTGCTGCACCAGTCTGCATTCACACCAGCAGTGTACTAGAGTCCCCTTTTCTCCACACCCTCGCCAACACTTGTTGTTTGATGATTTGTTAATGGCGGCCATCCTGGCAGGTGTGAGGTGATATCTCATTGTTGTTTTAATTTGCATCTCTCTGATGCTTAGTGACGTTGAGCATTTTTTCATATGTCTCTTGGCCTTTTGTATGTCCTGTTTGGAGAGGTGTTTGTTTAGCTCCTCTGCTCATTTTTTAATTGGGTTCTTTGTCTTCCTTTTGTTGAGTTGTATGAGCACTCTATATTTTGGAAATTAACCCCTTATCTGATGTATCATTGGCGAGTACTCTCTCCCATACAATGGGTTCCCTTTTCATTTTGATAGTTATTTCTTTTGCTGTGCAGAAGCTTCACATTAGTAGATTGTTACAATATTATCCCTGGCCGGGTGCTCAGTGGTTAGAGCATCAGCCCATGGACCAGAGAGTCCCGGGTTCAGTTCCCTCTAAGGGCACATACCTCAGTTGCAGTTTGTCCTTGGCCCCAGTTGGGTTTGTGTGGGTGGAAACCAGTCAATGTGTCTCACTCACATCAATGTTTCTCTCTCCCCCTCTCTCTTCCTCCTGCTCTAGCTAAAGATTAAAAAAAAAAAAAGCCCTCTAGTGAGGATAAAAAAATAAAATATTAAACCAATGTTGTATTCCAGGAGTAAATACCTGAATAAAATATATCATGATTATTTAGGTATTTACTCCTTGAATGTAATATATTGCTGGATTTGATTTGCTAATATTTTCTTAAGGATTTTTGGTCTATATTTGTATAGGACATTGATTTTTTTTAAATATATTTTTTAAATTGATTTCAGGGAGAGGGAGAGGGAGAGATAGAAACATTGATGAGCCCTGCCAATTTGGCTCAGTTGGTTGAGCGTCGTCCTACATACCAGGACGTCTCTGGTTCAATTCCTGGTTAGGGCACATGCCTGGGTTTTGGGCTTGATCCCAAGTGAGGGGTGTACAAGAGGCAGCCAATTGATGTTTCTCTCTCATTGATGTTTCTCTCTCTCTCTCTTTCCCTTCCCCTCTCTGTAAAATCAATAAAAACATTAAAAAGAAAGAATCATTGATGAGAGAGAAACATCAATTGACTGCCAGGAATTGAACTGGGACCTCTCAGTCCGTGGGACGACGCTCAGTCCACTGAGCCACACGCACCCAGCTACCAATATTATTTTTTTATATATTATTATTATTATTTTTTTAATTCTCACTCAAGGAAATTTTTTTTCATTGATTTTTAGATAGAGTTGAAGGAAGGAAGGGAGGGGGGAGAGAGAGAAAAAGAAAAGAAACATCAATGTGAGAGAGTCACATTGACTGGTTGCCTCCTGCACGACCCCAACAAGGGCCGAGGATTGAACCTGTAACCCAGGTACATGCCCTTGACCAGAATCAAACCCGAGACCCATTGGTCCATGGTCCAGTGCTCTAACCACTGAGCAAACTAGCCAAGGCTCTATATTATTTCTTCATAATATTTGTGAAATCATTCTGGTGGCAGATACATTAAAATATATGAACAGTTTATAGTTTGTGTGATTTTTATATCCAGGTTAATAATGTATCTTTATCCAGTACATGTGCTTTAAAGAATTGTAAGATCTTTATATATACAAATTAAATGATATTACGTTTTCATTAATATGCATATTCCTTCTGAAAAAAAGTTTAATTTTTTGTTTTATTATATCAATTAAAGATGTGAGAGAATATGTATTATTAAGCAACACATGATACAGAGCCTGACATAATTCTTTACTGAATTTAATTAAAGATTTGTCTGTTTCTCAAGGTATACTGCCTGGTTTCTTTTCTCCACGGTCATCTCACATCTGAAACATGGCTACGGATTGGCTGGGCAGTATTGTGTCTATCAACTGTGGGGATAGCTTAGGTGTCTATCAGGGAAGAGTGTCAGCAGTGGATCAGGTCAGCCAGACCATTTCTCTCACCCGACCTTTCCACAATGGAGTGAAGTGCCTTGTGCCAGAAGTCACCTTCAGGTGAGTGTCCTGACTGATCTTCCAAGTCTAATCTGGTGGTCTGTGGAGCTTGAACCTAGGCCAAATTGCCAATATTCTCTTGTGTAGGGCTGCTTATGAATAGAGTCGTCTTGTCAGAGGTGAGATTTTGCAGTCTGGGATCTTGTAGTTCTGCTGCTGTTTCAATGGACTGTCATAGTTAGCTTTCTACTAATGGTTCAGGGTTTGTGAAACATTTTATTTCTATCGAGCACACAGTATTATATTATTTAAATGGGTCATATTCAAAATAACCTTTCTGTTTTCTTTTGTGGTTTCAGATTTTCTTTCTTAGTTTGTTATCACTGTGCTTTCTTTTTTAAAATATGTTTTTATTGATTTTTTAGAGAGAGAGGAAGGGAAAGAGAGATCGAAACATTGATCAGCTGCCTCCTACACGCCCCCCACTGGGGATCAAGTCTGCATCCCAGGCATGTGCCCTGACCAGGAATTGAACTGGGACCTCTCAGTTCATGAGATGACACTCAATCCACTGAGCCACACCAGCTGGGCTCACTGTGCTTTCTTAATCTAAAGTTGTTATTGATTTTCCCCTGCATAATTGTAGCTCTCTTTGCAGATCTGTGTCATAATTTACTTCCAGAAGCACACTGTAGCCAGTAGTTAAAGACCTTAGTTACATGGATATATTTTTCTTAGTGTTTGCCAGCATATCTGAAGTTCAGTTGTCTTTTTAAAAATAATTTTTTTTTATTGATTTTAGAGAGAAAGGAAGGGAGAGAGGGAGAGATAGAGACATTATGAGACTATAGATTGGCCGCCTCCTGCCTGCCCCCTACTGGGGATTGTGCTCACAACCTGGGCATGTGCCTCAACGGGGAATTGAACCGGCGACCTCTTGGTACATGGGTTGATGCTTATCTACTGAGCCACACCAGCTGGGCTGAAGTTCAGTTGTCTTCACATCCTTCTTTTTACCAATGTGCCAAACTTATGTTAAAAAAAAAGGCTGTTGGGCAAGAGCTTCCTTAACTTTCTGAACAGTACCCACACATAACCTTTTCTGTAGGTGTATCCATTTTTATTTCTTACCTCCTCTGAAGTCTCAATAGAAAAACTATCCTTTGTGTTCAGGGCTCACTTAAGCATGTATGCTTTATATGCTATCCTTTGAGACCCTATCCATCTTTTTTTGTGTCTTTAGTTTCAACCTTTATACTGTCTCTTTCCTCTCCGCATTCTGACATCTCAGGCCTCCCCCGTAGTACAGATACCCCCTCACCCCACATACAACTTGCATTTGCAACTACTATTTCCTCCTATTCACACCCAAAGCTCTTTTCATAGCAAAACAGTCTGCCATCATTCCCTTTGTGGCCTCATTCTCTAGTCCCTCCTTATCCCCCTTATCTTCTTCCTAACTTTACCATTTTTGCTGAACTAGCTTTTGCCAAGGTTACAGATGACCTAATTGCCAAATTCAGTGGCATTGTCTCAATTATAATCTATTCAGATGCTCCCTAACTTTTGAAGTATCCTCTTCTTTTTAGTTTCTCTCTTATACCTTTGGGTTTTCTTTCCATGTTTTCTTCCATTCCCTTATATATCTTTTTTTTCCAGGTTCCTTTTCTTCTCACTTTTTAAGATTGGATTACTCAAATTTCTTTCTTTGATTCTTTTCTAGTCCTGTACTTTCTAGACAATCTCATGTGTACCTTCTTAAACATTAATGAGACCCCAAATCTTTTTTTAGTAATAATAGACATTTATAAATTCTTAATAACTAAATACTAGACTTAATGCTTTTCATATATTATGTCATTTATGCTAATGAGAATATTGTAAACTGGCCATTGTTATTACTGATGACTTCTCTGTTTGCCTATACCAAATCTTTAGGAACTGAGCTCCAGACACTTTATTTTAACTGTCTACTGGTCATTTCGAGGTGGAAGACCTTAAATCTTCAATTTAAGATTTTCAAAGCTGCCCTGGCCACTGTGGCTCAGTTGATTGAGCATCATCCTGTGCATTGAAAGATTGCCAATTCGATTCCTGGTCACATACCAGGATGCAGGTTCTGATCTCCGGTCGGAGTATGTGTGGGAGGCAACCAATCAGTGTTGCTCTTTCACCTCTCTCTCAAATCAATAAAACTTTTTTTTTTTTGGTATGTTCCCCTAGCAGGAACTGAACCCAGGACTCCCTGGTCCGCAGGCCAAGGCTCCAATCGCTGAGCTAAACCGGCCAGGGCTAAAACATTTTTTAAAAAAGATTTTCAAAGCTGAACTCATGTTGCCTACAGATTTTTTCTCCCCCCAAAAATCTACCCTTAATAGATGACTAATGACACCTTTCACCCAAGTTAGAAACTTAAGAATCATAATAAATTCTTTCTTCTCTTTGATCCTCCTGTTCAGTTAATCACCAAATCTGGTGACTTCCAAATGTCTCCTGGTTCCATCTTCCATTCTCCTTTTTCATTGTCACTTGCCCTATTTATCTCTTATTTCTTGCCTTATCTCCTAACTGTTGTTCTTGCCTCTAATTTCTCCACCTACAGCCACCAGAAAAATCCAATGTGATTATGACTGGTCCCTGATTACCTCCACAGGCCTTACCTCCTAATGGCCCTCCACAAGTATCCTTCCCTTTAGTTATGCCATACATTTGCAGTTTATCAGATAGGCCACATTTTCTCAATCTCTGAGCCTTGGCCTGAGATACCTCTTCTGCTTGGGTAACTCTTATTTTCCATCCCCACTGAGACTTAGCATACATGTTTCATCCATCTCTGCCAAACTAACATCTCTATTTTCTTTTTGGTTTTCTAGTCTCCTACACATATTTCTGTCATAGTATTTAACACTTTTCTTTGTCTACTTGTCTTTTCTGGTGACTAGACTGTTAGTTCTTTGTGAGCATGTATTGCTTTTCATCTCTATATACCCCATTCCCAGTGCAGGGCTTACCACATAGTAAGTACTCTGTATATGCCTACTGAATGAGCAAGTGAGTGAATGAATGAAATAAAGCTGTTAAGCATTCTGGAAATCTAAGATGCTAATGATAGTTTTGTGATTAACAATAGGGCTCTTTAAAGGCCAGTACTATGTCAGTTGAATGTTGGTGGCTGAGTCTTGTCTTTAAGTGCTCTACCACCTTTCCTAGTTTTTTCCTTTGATAACTCATTGAAATGCAGCCCTGCAAGGGTGTGTAGCTGGTTGCTGTTGATTCCAGTTTCATCACTGTTACCACTATTGTAGTTTTGAGAATTGGATTCTTTTGTGTATTTCAGGGCAGGTGACATTATGGAATTAAAAATTCTGGAGATACCAGGGCCTGGAGAAAACCAACATTTTGGAGACCTACATCAGACAGAATTAGGCCCTTCTGATGTTGGGTACCAAGTGGGTATCAATCAGAATGGCACAGGCAGGTTGGTCAAGAAGCCAACCTCTTCCAGCAGTGCCCCTCAGAACATCCCTAAGAGGACAGATGTGAAGAGCCAGGATGCTGCCGTTTCCCCCCAGCAGCAGCAGTGCTCCAAGAGCTATGTGGACAGGCACATGGAGCCCTTGAGTCAGTCCAAAAGTTTCCGTCGTCGGCACAACTCTTGTAAGTTGGAGCAAGTTGGTATTTCTTCTTAACCTGATGTTTGAGGGCTGTAAGTTCTTACCCACTGCTATTATTTAAACAAGTCTTTATTACCCTAATAAAAAAGGATGCTACAAAAGCTTCACAAAAATATAACATAGTTAGTTCTCTTATTCCAGAGCTACAAGATACTAAGGGGGAAAAAAATCTGTTAGACTCACACCAGTTCCCTGCCCTCTCCCACTACTTCTCTTTCTTCAAGAAAAGATCTGCCTAGAGTGCACATAGACAGAAGTGATACTGTTTTTAATCTGATAACTGATGATTGTTGTGATGTTTAAGTTGAACCTGCACTTAGGCTGTTCCAGGGAATTCTTGAATAATTTTCTTGCAATTTGGCTCCCATCCTCAATTAGAGAACAGGAAGGGGCTTGCCTAGACATCTCTGTGATCTTAGTTTCTGACAAACTGACAATTTTTCTTTTTTTGTTTAAGAGAGAGTAGCTGCGGGTAGAGAAACATAGATATGAGAAAGACACATTGATTGGTTGCCTCCCTCACCTGCCCTGACTGGGACTTGGGATCAAACCCACACTCCATGTATGTGCCCTTGACTGGGAATCAAACCCATGACCCTTTGGTGCATCAGCCGACACTCTAACCACTGAGCAACACTGGCCAGGGCCAGAGTGACCATTTTAAATTTGCTGTACTCACTGTCCCTACTGGTACATCCAGAGAGTATTCACTGATGTGTATTGATGTCCAGTTTTGTTTAGTACTAACAAATTGTTGAATGCTATTTGCTCATTAAAGAACCATAGTTAATTCACTAGATCCTGATTTTCTCTGTAACATAGTCACTGAAATAATGTGAATCTGTTATATAATGGTGAATTATAACAGATTCATTAGAATCTGTGTGGCACCAGTGTCAGGGGTCATCCAGTTATGAAATACCTGTTTCTGTGACTAAACTATTGAAATTTTGAAAATTAAAAAAATGTATTTTAAAGTACTTTTCTTCCGTGCTTGTTAAGTAACTATCTGAATTGACAATGATTGAAACCTGAGATTGAAATTGAATTGTTACTTCTGTATCCTTTCAAAAACTATAGAATGCTTTAGATAGAAATTGAGTCTTTCCATTTAGACTTAACCGTCATTACATTACTTTACTGTTTCTTTTAAAAAAACAGACCTGCCCAGCCCATGTGGCTCAGTGGTTGAGCATCAACCCATGCACCAAGAGGTTGCTGGTTCAATTCCCGGTCAAGGCACATGCCCAGGTTGTGGGCCCGATTCCCAGTGGGGGGGTGTGCAGGAGGCAGCCAGTCGATGTTCTCTCTCATCGATGTTTCTCTCTCTCTCTCTTTCTCTCTTCCTTCCTCTCTCTCTAAAATCAATAAAGAAAAAATTTTTTTTAAAAAAGCAGACCTATTTTCTTTTTTTAATGTTTTTATTGATTTTTTTAGAGAGAGAGGGAGAGAGAAACTCCTGCACGCCTCCTACTGGAGTCACACCTGCAATCAGAGCATGTGCCCTGACCAGGAATACAACCAGGACCTCTTAGTCCATGGGACAATGGCCACACCAGTGGGCCTCTTTGTATGATATTGATTAAATTTATCAATACTTGATTTGTAATAGATTAAAGTGTTTTGCTGCGTGGAAAGCATAGTCCTCGCCTGCTTGGCCAGTGGTTTTTGATAAATCTCCCAATTTGAGAGCTAATTGGAATCCTAACAGTCCTCTCCCATGGTAACAAATGAGGAACTGGAGACCCAGAATGGTTTTTGTTCTCTTCCCCAGCCATAGACTAAAGTGATTTCATTCTGCTGCCTGTTGATATTAATCTTAATCCCATCACTTTCCTTTCTTTACCAATAATATTTGTTTGTTAAAAGTTTAAATACTCACCCTGGCCGGTTTGGCTCAGCGGTTAGAGCATCAGCCTACAGTCCCAAGAGACCTGTGTTCGTTCCCGCTAAGGGCATGTACCTCGGTTGCAGTTTGTCCCCAGCCCTGGTTGGGATGTGAGGGTGGCAGCCACTCGATGTGTCCCTTTCACGTCGATGTTTCTCTCTCTCTCTCACTCTCTTCCTCTCTCTCCCTCCCACTTTATCTGAACAAAAAAAAAAAAATGGAAAAATGTCCTTGGGTGAGGATTAAAAAAAAAAGTTTAAATACTCAAGCAGTTTATAATCTCATATACTTAGAGATAATCTTTATTAACCATTTATATACTTTTTCTACAGATTTTCTCCCTGTCATTAACATCTTACATTAATATGGTACATTGGCCCTGGCTGGTTTGGCTCAGCGGTTAGAGTGTCGGCCTGCGGTCTAGAGAGACTCCCCCGATGATATTTTTCCATTTATCTTCAGACAGAGTGGGAGGAGGGGAGAAAGAGAAGGAGAGAGAGAGAGAAACATGGATATGAGACAGACACATTGACTGGTTGCCTCCCGCATGACCTTGACCAAGGCCAGGGACCAAACTGCAACCAAGGTACGTGCCCTTGACTGGAATTTAACCCTCGACTCTTTGGTCCGTGAGCTGATGCCCTAACTGCTGTCCAAACTGGCCAGACCAGATATATTGTTATCAATTAAAGTCTATATTTTATTCACATTGCTTTAGTTTTTTCTTTACTTTTTTTTTTCTTTATTGATTTTAGAGAGAGAGGAAAGGAGAGGGAGAGAGAGAGAGAAACATTGATGAGAGAGAACATCAACTAGCCACCTCATGCATGCCCCCCACTGGGGATCAGGCCCACAACCTGGGCATGTGTCCTGACTGGGAATTGAACTGGCATCCTCTTGGTGCATGGGTTGACACTCAACCACTGAGCCACCCTGGCCGGGCACCTTAGTTTTTTTTTTTTTTCAATCCTCTCCCAAGGATATTTTTCCATTTATCTTCAGATAGAGTCGGAAGAAAGGAGGGAGGAAGAGAGAGAGAGAAACATCGATGTGAGAGAGTCACATCAATAGGTTGTCAGCCACACAACCCCAACCAGGGCCAGGGACAAACCACAACTGAGGTACATGCCTTTGGCCAGAATTGAACCTGGGTCTCTTTGGTCCGCAGGCCGACACTAACTGCTGAACCAAACTGGCCAGGGCTTAGTTTTTTCTTAATGTTCCTGATGCAGGTTCCCATCAAGCATACCACATTACATTTATGCGCATGTTTCCTCTTGGCTCTGATGGTTTCTCAGATGTTCATTGTTTTTGATGACCTAGATAATTTTGATAAGTACTTGTCAAATATTTTGTAGAATATCTCTCAATTGGTATTTGATGTTTTCTCATAATTAGGCTGGGGTTATGTGTTTTGGGGAGGAAGATCACAGAGATAAAGTGTTATTTTCATTACATCCCATCAAGGGTATCTACTATCTTTTTTTTTTTTTTAATCCTCATCCAAGGATATTTTCCCCGCATCTATCTTCAGATAGAGCGGGGGTGGGGGTGGGAGAAACATCAGTGGGAGAGAGACACATCTACTGGCTGCTACCCATATGACCCCAACCGGGGCTGGGAACAAACCACAACCGAGGTATGTGCCCTTAGCAGGAACCAAACCCAGGACTCTCTGGTTTGTGGGCCGACACTCTAACCGCTGAGCCAAACTGGCCAGGGCTCTGCTATCTTATTTAAAATTTTTTATTAATTTATTTTTGTTACAGATGTTTCTCCTTTTTTTCCCATTGACACCCTCCTTGCTATCCCCACCCGCCCCGTCCCCAGCATTATTGTCTATGTCCATTGGTTATGCATACATGCATATAAGTTCTGTGGTTTATCTCTTTCCTCTTTCCATACTCCTCTTCTGAGGTTTATCAGTCTGTACCCTACTTCTCTGTCCCTGGGTCTATTTTGTTCATCAGTTTGTTTTGTTCATTATATTCTACAAATAATTGAGATCATGTGATAGTTGTCTTTTCTTTGATTGGCTTGTTTTGCTTAGGATAATACTCTCCAGGTCCCTCCATGTCATCTTAAAGGATAAGAGATCTTTCTTTTTTTTACAGCTGCATAGTATTCCATTGTGTATATGTACCACAGCTTTTTTATCCACTCATCTATTGATGGACACTTTGGCTGTTTCCAGATCTTAGCCATTGTAAATAGTACTGCTATGAACATAGGGGTACATATATTCTTTCTGATTGGTGTTTCAGGCTTCTTAGGGTATATTCCTAGAAGTGAGATCACTGGGTCTAATGGCAGTTCAATTTAACTTTTTGAGGTAACACCATATTGTTTTCCATAGTGGCTGCACCAGTCTGCATTCCCACCAGCAGTGTACTAGAGTCCCCTTTTCTCCACACCCTCGCCAGCAATCGTTGTTTGATGATTTGTTAATGGCAATATTCTGACAGGTGTGAGGTGATATCTCATTGTTGTTTTAATTTGCATCTCTCTGATGATTAGTGATTTTGAGCACTTTTTATATGCCTCTTGGCCATTTGTATGTTCTGTTTGGAGAGGTGTTTCTTTAGGTCCTCTGTCCATTTTTTAATTGGGTTCTTTGTCTTCCTTTTGTTGAGTTGTATGAGTACTCTATATATTTTGAAAATTAACCTCTTATCTGATGTATCGTTGGCAGTTATGCTCTAAGGGTATCTACTGTCAAAATAGTGTATGACTTTTGATCTTGACCTTGATTGCCTGGCTGAGGCAGTGTGTCAGATTTCTTCTGTAAAGTGACTTCTTTCCCCCCCTTTACAAACTGTGCTCTTTGTAAGGAAGTCACTATGTGCAGCCCACACCTAAGGAGTGGGGAGTTAAGCAGAGTATCTACATAAATTATTTGGAATTCTTCTGCACCAGAGATTTTTTATCAGTGTGTAGTAAATTCAACACTGCTTTATTTTAGTGCTCATTGATTCAGCTTTGGCCACCGGGAGCCAAAGCAAAACAAAACAAAACAAAATGGTTTTTTTTACCAGTAATTTTTTACTTTCTGATACTACAAGAGGCTCCAGGATTATCTTCTGTATTTCCTGCCC